GAGATTGTTTCTTGTAAAAACAGGACAGAAAAACAACATGTGCTCAATGAGGAGGGCAAGGCAAGACAGTGGATCGTTGATGTGAGGATCACTCATTAAAAGATCAATTTTTATTTTTTTCATTAATACTTTGGCCTAAACAAAGGGTATGTCACAGAAAATATCCATGTATACCAACTCAACAGCTCAGTAATATCTATATTTAAAATCATTAATAACACACACAAATATCTGAGATAAAGGCAGAGAGCTTGTGTATTACCTTGGAGCATGTAATAGTTTTATTGTATGCAAGCTGCTTGAGCTGCAGTTAGTGTAACGTATATTAGCTTTCTTATTAGCTTTATTAGTGTTTGTTTTGAAAATCAGTCTTTATTACTCTTAGGAAATGTTTTTGTTGTCTTTTATGAACGTGGAGCACTAGGCAGAGTGCTAAGAAGACAAACAAATATAAGCACGGTCATGCGCATTGTGTCCGTCAGGGGAAATAGAGAATGAGATGGTGAACTGCTGCCTGCATGCCATCCACTTTGTACTGGATAGACCACATTAATTATTTAACAGCAAGGCTGCTAGCTATTATTACAGAAAAACAGTGGACTGCATCTGGACCCTTTCCTGACGTTTCTATGTCAAATACACACCTTGCCCTTGTGGGCACACCAAACCGCTGTGGAGCATGCATCTTAAAACAAGGGCATGTACGAGGCATGGTGCAAAACTCGCTGTCTGCTTTGTTAACAGTTTAATAACATGAGGTGCAGTATGTCTGAATGAGACAGTAAAAGTGAAGCACTTTGTGGTGTGAGTGCCCCACCGCTACAGAAATATGCATGCCTCTGTGCAGGTTGCTTACCTGTGTTTTTGCATGTCTAAGTATGAGTGAGCCAGACAGGTGTACAACAAACGCCTGTTTAAAAGAAGCAGGAAAGCTGATGGGGGGGGGGGGGGGGGGGGCAGCTGCACGGATTTGTTTGCCATGACTGTACAGGCTCCTTACCGTCAGTCCGTCCTGCCTAGATGGGCATTTCTGTTATTCACTCAGAGGTTATGGTTTTAGATTGAGGGCAAAGCTTTCCAGCCTCTGGACTGTTTTGAAGGAATCCATTGTCAATAGAGATGCAGTGGGGCTAGGATTGTTTGCAGAGTTAATAGTAGTTTGATGATGTCTTTCTCAGTGACCTGAAGAGAAATTGACCCCTGTTGTGTGAGTATTTCTAAAATGTCACCCGCACAATTATGGTTGGAGTGTCCCTGGGCTGTTGTATGTAGGGCTTGTTTTATCTGAGACTGAGTCGTCCTCACAAAAATACACACACACACACACACACACACACACACACACACACACACACACACACACAAGTACTGCTGCAGTTTAATTTGCTGACCCATACCTCTACATCTTCTGAAAACGTGTTCCTTGAATGTCAGTAGAAATTAGTTTCCCCGTGGTGAGGATGAAATAATTTATTCATCATCAGTGACTTAAAGTGTTTCAACACGAACCTTTTACAGATACAGTACGTATTGGTTCTTTTTAACCACAGCAAAGTGGGATATTTTCAGTTGTAGAGTTGTATGGATACATTCGTTCATTGTACAAAAAAAAAATTAAAAGGTCTCGGTTGCATTTACACATGCAGACACAAAAAAGGAAGAGATGATGTAGATATCGACAGAGGTGTCCATGACAGGGTAGAATTGCATTCATCAGTCGCTGTTGTTACTCCCGCTCGTATGTCTTGGAAGCAGCTCGTTTAAAACCTTTTTTGCTGACTTGTAAAGTTAAACTAATTTAATCCTCATGTTGTTGTTAATTAATACAGCCAGGGAAGAAAGACGAAAAAATAAAACAGAGGTTAAGGAAAAGAGAAAGAAGGGGGACAGAGGGAAGAAAGCAAATCCTCTAGAGAGATGTATAATTCATGCTCACGACTGTGGGAGAGATTTTGTATGTGTGTGCGTGTGTGTGTGGTTCCTTCTGTTCTGAACAGTGTTTTATACTGTAGGGTGATCACTGTGTATTTGCTCAATCTCTGTCCCCGTGTCTTTGGGGTTTGGATAACCAGCACACTGAACTGAGCGCAGGCCGAGACCTGAGTAAGTCACGGTTTCTCTCTTTCTGCATCTTGATTTAAACTGTGACTTCCACTGTGTGCATGCAGTGTTCACTCTAATAGGCAGGGTTAGCAGTGATTCTACGCACCCATCATTTTTCAGTTTTTATTAGGTATGTTAGAGCTATCTTTTTTTTTTAATTTCCTGGAAAATTATTTATGAGAGGCAATAATAGTGAATCATCGTGCATGAACACTTTTGGGAATTAGCATGCATGCAATTTTTTTCTTTTATTGGTTAACTCAGTATTATTATTATTATTATTATTATTATTATCATTATCATTATCATTATTATTATTATTATATGTACTTATACTGTTACTTTATTCTGACATCACAGGTTTTAGATGTTACTGTTTAAATTTCCTTTGAGTAAATTTAAAGTAACTTGCACATTAGGACTTACTGTTAGCCTCCAGCTCAAGGTAGGAACAAACGTCACTCTCTTATTTAAAAGGGGGAGATTAGTTTGATTACACAGGAATGAAGACACACCTAAGTAACTGTGGACATTGAACCTTTGGGTTGTGTTCAGAGACGTGTGATCTTTCTTTCAAGGTTTTTCCGCCAGCTGCTTTGTGTGATCAGTAGCTAAATGAGTGAAAGCTAAGCTCCAAAGAAACTGACGGAATTAACTTTCTTAAGTTTGGATGTAGCGGCTGTTACGATGTCGAGAACAAACTTTAGGGCGCGGCTGCAGTCTTCACCTCATCATAAATTATAAAAGTAGAGGATTCCCATGCGTGTGAAATGACTTTGTTCACAGTTTGTGTCACATCAGTGCATGTTCAACTAGGCAAAACAAAAGCTTTTCAATATTTTAGTGCACAGGGACCGACAGAGTGAAGAGAGACATTATTGTACTGCTGTTCCTGCCTGTCTCGTCCTTTCCTATCTAGTGTCCTGTCCTCTCCCATCCTCTGAAGTACTCTCCTCTTCTCTAAGATTACAGCACCCCCTCTCCATGTCAGACTAACTTTTGCACAGCAAGTATTGACTCACATCCATCCCTCTTCCTCATTTATCATTGCTCTCCATCTGCCCTATGTCATAGGCACCATAAGCTTCAGTACAGCCTTTTTTTTCTTGCGCAGTCAACTGAGTTTGAAGTGTGTTAATCAAATTTCCTACAGGTACATCAAGATTTTGGGTCTCAGAGGTCCAGTAAAAATGCAGAACTGTAAAAATGATCAACAGGGGAGGGGCTATTGAACAGATGTGGAAACAGAGATTCTGAGAGTAGATTACAGAATAATAGAACAGCTTCCCTTCACATTTATTTATATTTCATTCGTATTTGCAGTTAAACGAGTGGACTTTCCATCAGATCGCGAAAGTATTTTTTGGTGTACTTTCACTGAGTCCATCGGGGGAAGGTTTCTACATCTCCCTACGATCCACTTTGTGTGCTTGTCCAAGGATTTGTCTGATTAGGCGCTGCCTAATTAGGTCTGACTAGGCAAGCTTTTTAGTCACATGCCATCACGCATGAGATATGGTTAAAAGATAGATGGGCAGGACATTAACTGTCAACATGGAGGAACACTGCTGGTGGGACTTTCACTTCTTGGTAGTAGTGAACTCCACCCTGCTTGTCCTGATGGGAGAAAACATTGAAACAATATTTAATTGTTTGTTTTTTGCAAAAGAGTGCAGTTGATCCTTTTGTTTTAGCAATGTCACACCTAGGATGACAAACTGAGATTCCTTTAAATGCCTCAAAAGGCCAAGTGGGCGTCATCTTTTGATTGTGGTTTACATTTTTCTGTGTATTACTGGTTAAATATATTTAAATGACACAGTACTAGGCAAGCGTTAAGCAAACTCCTCATTTATTTATGTATTTTTTATTTAATTCAACAACATAATTTTTAGGATATATCTACAGAAGCATCTTTATCAAAATGTACCATGAAGCAAGTCGTCACAGGTGCAAAGGAGCAAAGACGGGTTCATCAGTTCTTATGAATTAGATCTTCCCACTGGTTGAATCTTTTCCCCCGCTGATGCAGCAACACTGCACAAAGCTGGAAAAGCAGCTAAAGCAGAGACACAGATAAGTGACAAAACAGCCGAGCGCTCAGATATTAATCGAGACATTTTAACTTTGTCATGAGAACATTTGCAAGCTGCAAGGCGCTCTGCTGATGTTTAGCCTGAGGCTGTGACAGACAGGAGGGGATGTTATGCTATCACAGCGTTTGATCACCGGCATCACGGGAACACAGGTATCAGAGAGAGACTCGTATCTCTCACAGCTGTACAGATTCTGTCGTGGTGCTTGTTTAGATATTGGTGTAAATGGGATGAGGAAGATTTAACTTTGAAGATATGAGATTAATTATTTTTTCTTCCCCCTTCTGATCTCTTTCAAAAGCTGTGCACTGTGAGTCTGAGCATTTTTTTTTTTTTTGGCTTTTTTTTGCTTTTTTTTAGTGAAATAAATGGTAGAGGCAAATAAATTTGCATGACTCAACAGAAAAAATATTTTCCAGAGCTCTGTGTGTTAATAGGCTTCACAGTACAATTACTTGGCCTGTACATAATGGAAGTGCAATCAATGTATGGATCCTGCCCCCTACTGTCAATGATGGAAATGGCATCTATAATCAATTAGTGGTGACTCAATGTTAGAGGGCTGCAGGCTAACAGCGATTAACAAAAACTTTCCTTTTTGGTGGGGGAGATTTGTTGTCCATTGCCGCCAATTATCTCACATGTTACAACACACTGGGGTTTGCTTTCGATATTTTGTTGCTGGTTTATTTTCAGCATGTCTGCTTCATTGTTTCAAGGAGCACAAAGCACAGATCATTTTCTTCAGTTGTAGTATTTTTATTATCAGCTCCTCATTGTTATTTCCTCTTTCTCTCATAGAAACCCCCCCACCCTGGAACCAGTCCAGGCCTCATGTTATATGCAGGGAACACAGCAACCTCTTCTGGCCAAAAGTGAACGCAGCAGAGAGTCTGTGCTGAAGCCAGAATATAACAAGTGAGTAACACCTATTATCACTGTTGACAGCGGTACTTGACAAAACTAGGTTTGCAGAAATTATGACGCCTCGGGAAATGAAGTGGCATTTTATTGTCAGTGCCACATTGTTGCCAAACAGTTAAGAGTTTGAAATGGAGCCACTGACTCTAACTGACATCTCATAGGAAATGTTAAAACCCCAGATGCCTGGTATCACATCTCAACAGATAACTGACTAGTAATTTGACTTGAGAAAAATCATATTATTGCCTGGGGAAGCATTAAAAAGTATTCCATGATCAATGTATCTGATTAGTTTGCTTTGACGGTACACTGGTGAGCTAATCAGGCCAAAGGGATCAATAGAGCACTTGACACTCTGTCTTTCATTCCTTCTGTCTTTGGATAACTACAATGTAAATGACTGGGTACTAAAGGAAACCCTACTGGGACGAATACTAAACTCTGCCTGTGCTGCATTGTGCACAGGGGAATCTCTGCAGACACTTAGCCGGTTCTTAATCAGTAGCGCGCAAAAAGTAGGTCCCTATTACACAGCCCTCTCTGAGTCTCTTATCATCATATTTGTCAGAGCTGCTTTATTCATTTCCAGATCAGTTTCCTCATACTGTAAACTTTTCAGCCTTCATAGCAAATCCTTGAGGTGCAATCCTTATTGTTCCTGATTGGCTCTGAACCTCTTTTTTCCCTCCTTTTCAGGCTCTGTGTTCCCATTTCTTTCTCTGTGTCAGGCACTGAGAGCTACAAGGATACCAGATGCCGTCCCAGCCTATTTGTCTTATCCGTTTTCACAGACAAACTAATTGCTATACAAAAGGTGCTGGCGTGTCCTGTCGAGGACCCTTGTAAATGCTTTACATCCACCACTCCATTCTGCCTGCCAGTAAACTGGCTAATTATAAAAGGATCACAAAAGAGTGTGATTAGGGATACAGAAGAGGGGGAGGAGGTGCGGTCCCACACCAGTGTAAATGGAGCACCTGAAACTGTTAGCTTAACATTAATGAAAACTCATTTTTGAAGCTGCCCAAATAGAAACTTAAGAGGAGAAAATAAACGTTTTATTATTGTTGGAACATTAATGTTTAGAGGTTCTAGTGCCACCTGTTAATATAAGACACACACACACACACAGGTAGAGCAGATCCTTGTTTTTTTATTTCAAACACAGTGTAATAAATTATTTTAACTTAGTTTTTTTTAATGATTTTTCCATCAGTTGAATAAAAAATTCTCAATAAAATGTCTTCAAATTCTTTGATTTTTTCAGCAACTATTAAAAAAATATATACTGCACTAAGCAGATCTTATTATACTAAAAGCTGAAATATAGATGTACTCCATAACAAGTAAAAGTACTCATGATACAAAAAATGTGTGTTACAGTATATAAAGTGTGTCTATATATATATATATATATATAGGTTTAACTAATGCATTAATGTGTAAGCAGTGATTTGCTGTTGTTTGTTGTTGGATCTTCTTTTATCCTGTTTCAGGTTTTATGAAGTGATGTTAAGTTTTTCTTGAAAAATTAACAATTAAAGAAATATGTGCATAAGAAATTTTGCATTTACAAAGCACTATCGGACAATCTTGTTGGCTCTTAATGTGCTTTTTTAAGCCCCCCCCCCCCCCCCCCCCAAGAAAAAAATAAAAAAAATAAACAAAAAAAACAGCTGTGCACATAATATGCAGGAGCATTGAAGGCAGTCCAGTAAAATAACACTACTAACGTTGGCAAACAGATTGAAGAAGGATGTTGGGACTCACATGTAAAGTTCAGTGAATGTCTCGCATAGCTGTGCTGATCATGTTAGCATCATCTGTCCACAGACAAAGAGAAATTAACAAGAGCCTAAGCATTCTGCTCAAAACTGCCTTTGTGTTAGTTCCAGCGACTGTAGGTGCCTCCCAGATCCTGCTAAGCCTTTAAGAGACGCAAAGGCAGAGTCTCGTGGCAAAAACAATGCAGATACATTGTCGCTGCTGGTAATAAAAACCTCTCTATTTGCCAAATGTCAACAGAGCTATGGACAAGCATCAGAAAGATAGTATTTCTTTCTGGGCTATTTCGTTTCATGTTGTGTTGCTGTAGAAATAAAAACATTTTTTCTAATCTGTGGTCATATAAATGCTTTGTCCTGCCTCCAGATTTGTGAAAATGTATCGAATCATCTGATGTGTTCAAGCATGTGTTTCTGTGTGTGTGTGTCCGTGTGAGCCTGTCTGTGTACAGACCGAGAAAACAGAGAGCCCTTGACTCCCCATCTTGACAAAGTTGGGTAATTAACGACAGAGCCTATTAAAGGGAGAATATTCAGCCAGTGATAAATGGCTTTAATAACAGGCCCATGTTCTCTCTAACAGAGATAGATCCTGCCGCCACAGTCTCCCTGCCCACCAGATAAAACTACCCATACTCCCATCTCACCACCCTCTTCATCTTGCCTTTTCCCATCGGCAGTCTCGCTCTTTTTCTGTTTTCTCTGGCTTTGTGGTTTCTTTCTCGCTAACTTTTAAATCATTTTTTCTTCTATCTCAAAGACTCGCATTGCTCTGTCGGACAATGCAGCTTTCCGTGAGCTCTGCTTGCAATTTCAGGCTAAAGCCACGTCAAAGCAATCGTATCAAACAAGCTCAAATGTTTTTCCTGTGCGCACAACAGGCATTCTGTGCATCCTCCACATTACGCGGAGCTCTACGATATTTAATAAGCTCAACCAGGTCATCTACCTGCATGCATGTTTGTGTTGCTGCAGTTGCGCTTATGCATGTTTGTCTTGTAAAACATCGTTAGCCTCTTTGTGTAGGGGCCATGCAAATTGGACAGTTAAAAAACGCCAGGGCCGATTTATGTTCCAGTGCAGCCCTTTAACAGGGGCTGTGCTACGGCTTTATGTGTCCTGGTGGGTTTAGGGGCAAGGACTGACCACAGGGGTCACATTCGTCAAAGCCCCCGTATTGTGAGATTGGTCCAGATGTCGGTCCTCATTAGAACAGGCCACGCTGAAAGAGAGGAAATTCAAATGGGTTAGAGTTAAGCAGTCCCACTCCCATCCACAAGGCTGAAAATGTGATGATTGTTGATTGTTTTCTATGCATTTCAGCTCCCTTTAAGTACAGAAAAAAATCATTCTTAGCCAAAAATGGATTGTACCAGTTTTGTCTGTTTTATTTGTCAACTTTTGAGATATATACCTCTGGGTGAACAGAATTTCAATTTCAAAATTGTGTTTCACAGTGCCCCTATTAGTCTGGATGATCCACATGCCTCACTCAAACTCCTTTTCCTGCAGAGGTGCTTATGAAAAAATGACAAGATTTTGTGATTTGCACACTGTAAATGAAAGATCCTGAAAGACATAGTCTGACATAGAAGTATAAACTATTTGCCATTGAAATGAAATTTAAATATGAAAGCGATTTTAAGTGGAAATGGATGTGTTACAACTTTTTAAAAATGATCTAAATACTGAGGTTCTGTAAGGTCGAGGGAAAAGAAAAATATCATTTGGTTTAAAAAAAAATCTTCTTTTTAAAGTAATATCAACGTAAGGTCAGGAAGGTATGCATGATGCATGTATAATACTTTTAGACTCACTGGACTCTAAAAGTTTGGCTTCAGGTTTGGGTCCTGTTAAGCACACACTCCTTGTCTCTCTCTTACACACACACACAGATATTACTTGACATGTCCCTCTCCAAAGTGTGTGAAGGGTTCTTCATACAGAGGTTGTAGCATCAGGCACTTTCTGTCTCACAGAACTAAAGGCAGCAGGTCCATTAAATACACATGAGAGTCTAATTAGGGCCCCCTTTGTGCAGCTGACTTGGAGGTAGGAGTCACTGGGGAGCGACTTTGCCAGGACCCTGACACCCAGAGAACACACTGTGCAAATTAATAGAGAATGACCAAGGAGTAGCTCTGTGACTGACTGGGACCTCTGCTTCCTTGGAGGCAAAATTGTTCAGAGCTGATTGCTCTCATTAAATTTGTTATAGTGATATAATTATGATAATATGCCTGCGAAATGTGATGACTCTTAGTGTGTGGTGAGTTTGCGTACCATGGTAAATTTGATATGAATGTTTAATATTTATATGGTCCATGTGACCTTTAAATTAAACCGGGGAGAAAATATTGTCAAACTGTGTGTTTTTAGTTTGTGGCCTCAATTTTACGAACTTTCAGTGGTCATTAAAAAAGCAACACGATAGCTTTGTTGTCTCGATGTGACTAATCGTCACCCCCTTTGAGCAAAATTAAAATAACTGATCATTTTGCCTATTTGCTCCAAAATTCAAACAGGAAAGGGGATTTAGCTAGCTTTCCTATTATAATTAGGTTGATAATAATGTTGAGTGAATTATTGCACTTTTGTTATTCAGGGGGAAAGTCTTTCCTCTGCTGTGTCACATGAGATATTGGTGTGGACATAATTCTTATTCTGGCAGCAGCACATTGACTGATATTATTTAAATTACACCTCCTTGGGCTAAGTATTCGGAAATACTTTGCAGGGAATTCATCACCAAACGGTGTTGAGAATAAAAGGGACATCGACTCTTGATTACACTGACAAAAATGGCTTTTTTTTCCAAAGGGAAATGACTAATGTTGTTAAGGACAGATGCAGGTATACTGCACACTAAACACTGGTTGAATTTAATCTATAGATGATAAATGAAAGGAAATTGAATGTGGCATTCCTGGCACAAAGCAGGAGAATAGGCCCATGATCTCAAAATAAGTGTAACATGCACACTACTTGTTTTCAAAGTATTTGCTACCCCTATATCCCTATTTCATTTAAACACCTTTAACAAGTGTAAAAAAAAAATAAAAATAAGAAAAGTTTAGTGAAATTGCCCATAAAAAGCCTCACCTGATTAAATTTGGATGATCTTCCCTTTAATCTTGTCTCTAACTGCACGACTGCTATATTTCTAAAGCACACCACACCACTACACCAGTCACATCAGTTTCTGCAACCTCTGTCCCTATCCTGGGTCAGTCCAACTTTTCCTGCACCTGGCACGTCTCTCTCTCTGTGCTGTTGGTAATTTTCTTCTTAACGCCGGACTTGAGGCTGCTGTTTTTAAGGCAGAGCCTTATGAGGTCCATTTAAGTGATGACCTATACTTGTGCTTAGCTTCTGCTGAAACCTCTCTGCTAGGTCTCTGTTATCAGTCAGTGCGACTGCCTCCTAGTCTCAATTCCTAGTCATTCTCATTATTGCTTCGCTGACTCCCCTGATCCTGATGCAGGTCCCATCTGAGCTGTGTTTCCAGTACTTCTTCCCTGTCTAATACCTCCCACTTTAATACCTAATACTTTTTCACCAACATGGTGGTGATGCCAGTGTTGAGCTGGTTCTGACTTGGCGCCTTTTGAGATCTGGCTCAATTTTACTATATTTGAGAACCAACTGGATCATTTACATGCAAAGACAAATTACAGTAGACCGAATCCATTGGTTACATCTTCAAATCGTTGGTGACTTTTTTATTGTAGCACCTCCTGTGGCCAATGATGTCAGTGAGACACATCGGCTTTTTAGTTTAGGAAATATATGGAACTACCTGTACATTAGACACTACATTGGTGGAAATGAGGTACTAATAGATCAGCCCATCTCTGATCAGCCTGCCTCAGTCTGCCTTCAGGCTCAAGGCCATCAGCTGAACCAGCCTTGCATCCCTCTAGGTTGGCTTCTGGTCCTCACCTGAGCAGGCTATTCCTCATCCCTCTTCCCTGTCTTCCTGAACTTTGCATGATATCAGTTTGTTCTCTCTCAAGTCTTACTGGCATCTGCACCTGGGTTTATGTGGGGGAGGGAAATACCGTCTGGTCAGTAAAATTAACCCTGTGCATGTAGACAGCCACAGTTTCCCTCTTCAGCCAAACAGCCATGAGCTGCCAACAGAACAAAGGTTTACACCATCCCATGGAGCACCTGAGGGACCAAATCCTCCACAACCTGCATAGTCTCACTCACATCATGGGGTGACAAGATCCAGCAAAACTTCAGAGACAATGTGGGAAACATTAGTAATGTAATATCTAACTTAAAAAGTAAACATATGGAAACAATGCAGGTTACAGGTTTGCCATTTAGTGTGTATACAAATATATTTCATTTGAATTCAACTTTCCATCACTGTTTCTACAGTCAGAGGTCAAAGAAGGCTGAGGGTCAGCGGGACGAGGCCAGTCCCAGCTCCAAGTAACAGGCTCCCCACCTCCACCCCAGTGGAGTAGCCGACTAACTTCTTTCTCCCCGATCTGTCTCCACAGGTCCCGGCAGTGGTAGGCGCTGTTCCCGACCCATGGAGGGCTGCATCAGTACCATGGCAGGATTGTGATGGGAGTGTCCTTTGATGGATGTTGGCCAGGTGTTCTTCATTGCCAGGACTCCAACACCCTCTTCCTGACCAGGAGGGAAATACAGCGTACCAGAATGATGCCAACAATATGCATTGTTGGAGTCAGAGTGGGTGGTCAGTTGTGTGCATGGGGACATTCAGCGGCATCCAGTAGTGCTGCTGCAGATAACGTTTAAGGGAAAAAAACACACAGAGTAAAGGTTGCAGCCCAGCAACGTCAGGAGCTCTTGTACAACAGAGGGACTAGACTTAGGCAACTGCTCCCTTCTTTCAGCTCAAAATTACTGTTGCTGAGTGGTTGACGTCCACTATGAGGTGGTGCGGTCGGACAGGGGAGGAGCCACAGAGATATTTCACCTCAACCTCCTCAAAGCCAAAGTAGGCTGCATATGCTGCTGCCTACTTGATGCCGACATCAACTATTTTCGCTATTACCTCCTGGGACGGTCATTAACCGCATGCTCAGACCACACCCCGCTGTAGAGGCTCCATCGCTTTATGTATGGATGCCAACACCCGTATCAACCTGTGATATCTGGCTTTGCAGCCCTTTAAGTTGAAGGTAATCCATAGGCCAGGGGCACAGATTGCTCTGGCCAATTTTCTCTCCCACTGGTGGGGGGGTGAGTAGGCTTAGCCGGATGGGTCCCCAGCATCAGTAGAGGTGGAGGTGTGTGGCGAGATGTAATCTGCGGCTCCACTGCAGGGAAGGGGTGGTGCAGTGGGGTGGAGGGCCAGTGGAGGCTGGCAGGACAGCTGAAAGCAATTCATTAATTACGCTCTCCCTATTTTAGTGACGCCAAGACATGGAGGAAAAAAGAACAGGTGGAGACAGGAAGCTGTTGGGACGAGGGGCACAAATAATTGTAAATAAAAAACACTGTCACAGGTACACTGACTGTCTTAGCTCCTCACTGAGGTCACACAGTCTTTCAAAAGTCGTTTTGCAGACTTATTCAGTTGTAAAGCCTCGCCTAGAAGATTTACAGCTACATTTGACAAAATCAATCTGCCGCTTAACCTTTAGCCGTACTCCAGGCAATGTGGAGTGTTCTTTTGTCTTACACAGGTGTAGCACAGTCAAGTGAAATCCTTTGACCACTGAATGAGAACTTAATGTTGTACCCAAGTGACTGAAACAGCAGTGATTTAGCTTCTGTCCACTGACATATTGAAGGGACTAAATATGAATTTTACATTTTATACTTGTACTTGTATTTCACCTTGGGGAGATGTTTTTTCACTCTGACATTAAGGGTCAGTTTTTGATTAGTCATTGCCAAAAAGAAGAGCCATTATAATATATCACTTATATATTTTGTACTGAAAAATGATTATGTGTGATATTACAGTAAATCATGAAAACCTTTAAATTAACCTTTTTTTTAAGTAAGGAGTGAGAAAGAGAGACTCGCCTGACTCACCTGTACAGCTGGCATTGAGTTCTTTGAACTCCAGCAGCCTCCCACACTTCTCTCCACTACGCTACACTTTTCTCTTCTCCTGCTGTGACAGCTTTGGCCTTTAAGCTCAGCACTGTTATCACATTTTAACAAGCGCGTCATTAACGTTGTCTCGCCGAGCTTTCTGTCGCAGTGACAGACAGCTGTTTTGACACACCCTGCCTCTTGCAGTTGCAGGGCTGACTTACAATAATGCATTACTAAAAATGTCAGTGGCTCCATTTAACTTTATTCGTTTTAAAGCCAGTGGTAAAGGTTTTTATTACCCACTTTATTGAACACCTTACGGTGAGATGGTGCTGTCTAAATTGTATTATATATTATAAACTTCTACAAGTATGTGGCAGCAGCTGCACAGGAATGTAGAGCACACATTTGCTCTTTATGGTACACAGTCCAATGGAAATGACTGTACAGATAATGTGCTTGTTCTTATTTGTGGATCACTGCGCACTCACATGTATGACCACGCTGGCCAAATGATAGTCTGCTCTGTTCACCTTTTGAATGCCAATATTTCTTAAGCATGCCTTACCTGAGCATAGAGTTACAGTGCACATTAAGTGATCTTTAACCTCAGATTTCTGGCCAACAAGCAATAATCCAACACCATCTTACTCTTTTCAGTTTCTAATGCTGTTCTATAACAGTTCCATTTCTGAACTTACTCTAATGTAATGGTAGGCTGTTAGTTTTTAACATAAAGCTACCATTCTTGCAATATTATAGCCACTTGTGCAGAAGGTTTATGTGTCTAGGCAGTTCTACACTTTTTGATAATACCCGTCCTCAATCTTGTCTGTGTGTTCCTTTTATGTAATGTAATTATGAACAGCAATACCCATCAATGTACCAGCTGTCTCACTACAATATCTCCTTAGTCTGGACTTTCTCACTGACCCTGAAGATGTCGGTAGTCTAAAAAAAAATAAGTAAGGGTAAAATGGAATCATCAAACAAAATCCTCTTTAAAAAAGCCACAAAGCATGCGTCATCCCATTTCAACAACATATTAAAGATTTTGCTATGGAGCAAACTCCGTTTCTCCAAGTACCCAAAATGAATTACATTGTGGATTATCGCGTAATTATGGATCTTTCCAAAGACTGATAGAACCGGAAAATTGAGTTCTGAATATTTCATAATGCATAGCACCATCTTTGTAGAGGAAATTATTTAGGGATAGCATGCTCATTTGCAGAATGGATAAAGGTTCATTGCGAGTCACTAGAGTGCAGTAATTGGAAAGCTCCTGTGATTCAAAGGAATCATTCAGAGATGAGCGTGTCTCCTGGATAGCTGTGTAGTACTCCATTAATCTTCAGTCACACACCCAAAACTATCAGCTACCATCCAAACCTATCAAGCTGTTGGCATATACCATATTTGTGCCGCATATAAATCACAGTTATACAACAAATGTGATAAATGTGCACTTTATCCTTTTTTTATCCCTCTGCAGATGAGCTCTGGCACTCTCCCAACCTCAGCCACCATGAACACAGCAAGGAAACGGTAACTCTTGTAACCTTACATATGACGTTTTTTTTGTAAGTCTTTATTTATTTCTTTTTCTTAAGTGTGGATCCTTTTAATGCACAGACAAGTAGAATTATCACAATATCAGCATTACATTACATGAAATATCGTCATCACCAAGGACAAACCAAACAATTTAAGGTTGGATAAACTACTCACTTAGGTGAACACTCTGACTGGGATCTAAAAGGATAATTTTGTCGCCTCTAGAAAACATATGAAGAAATGCCAGTTTTGAAAAATGTCATCTTTAAAAGGCAAATCTAAATGTCAGAGAGATAGATCCTTTACACAAAGAGAGCACTGCCTTCTGGGTAGTACACAGAAAGGCTTGAGAATAATATATTTTTCCCCCCAGTTGAAATGAACTACAATTACCCATCATCAAGCATATAAAGCAGTACCCTCGCATTCACAGTCTCATAGCCTGGGGAGGAGAGTGGTCACTGTTTGCAACATTAGTCAGGGAAAAGAACAAAAGGAAAATGTGTTTTGCTTTGTCACAAAATTGACTTTGCTGTGTTGTGATGTGAAGTATGTCACTGAGATGTTATGGAATATACTGAATTCATATAATGGACCAGAGGCAGGTAGTGTTAGGTGCTGCAAAGTTTTAAATAGGATGTTAGCATAGGCTGGAGGAGCTTTAACAAAAGTTAAACAAAATAAGCTCCAAGCAAGCTTCTAATAACTGACCTCCACCTATCAGTCCTTGTAGTTATGCATTTTCTATCACCTGCCCAGGTTAGGAAGTGGGGATAAAAACTCAAGTAATCAAACAATATTTGCATTAATTGCAAAAAGACTAAAGGTGAAACTTTTTTCCTCTTCCATTCACCATAAATATGGAAACATACACTGTGCATTTGTATTTTCATCAATGTCAGTGACTGTAGCATCTCCTACCCCATTCTCCCACCCTGTGCCTGCTCAGGAAACAGTCATATATTTATGATTGGCAGCTGATTTCCAAGCAACAAAGTTAAACTGCAGAAGGAAAACAGGAAAAAATAATTAGCGAAACAGCAGCTCAGTCCAATTTAAACCTGATGACACTAACATAAAGGAAAACTCATAATCTGATCCATAATCAAGCAGAGCACTTTTAATGGGAGCAGTATGTCTGTGAAGGTTCTCAGTCATCCAGGTCATCGTAGTCAAAGGAGCTTGCAAAGAAAAGCGTCTGGACTTCTTTAAGTTGCTTGAAGACGTTTCACCTCTCATCCGAGAAGCTTCTTCAGTTCTAAGGTCAAATGGTGGAGAGTCCCAGATATAAACCTAGTGGGAGTGACCCCCCACAGAGGGACAAAAGGACCCCCTGATGATCCTCTAATCGCCTGAGCCAAGGTGTGAAACTGGGTGTGGGTCCCAATCAGCCAAAGTTTCGGGTGTGTTCATTGTGAAACCTGGCCCCACCTTATCATGCGAATTCCTGAGGTCAGATGGCCCAGGATGTGAGTGGGCGTTAAGGCGCCTGGGAAGGGATCTCAAAACTGGATTATAGATGGCAGAGAGTTGGTGTCGTAAACCCCCGCCTCTGTTCAAAGATGGTCGCTCACAGTGGACATAGATGGCTTCTTTCACTCCTCTTTCAAACCATCTGTCCTCTCTGTCCAAAATGTGAACATTGGCATCCTCGAAAGAGTGTCCTTTATCCTTAAGATGCAGATGGACTGCTGAGTCTTGTCCTGTGGAGGTGGCTCTTCTGTGTTGTGCCATGCGCTTGTGAAGTGGCTGTTTGGTCTCTCCAATGTAGAGGTCTGAGCATTCCTCGCTGCACTGTACAGCATACACCACATTGTTAAGTTTGTGTTTTGGCGTTTTGTCTTTCGGGTGAACCAGTTTCTGTCTGAGCATGTTGCTGGGTCTGAAATGCACCGGGATGTCATGCTTGGAGAAAACTCTCCTGAGTTTCTCTGATACACCGGCTACATAGGGGATGACAATGTTGTTGCGTCTGTCCTTCTTATCCTCCCTCGCTGGTGTCCGGTCTTCTTTTCTTTAGAAAAAGACATCCCGGTGCATTTCAGACCCAGCAACACGCTCAGACAGAAACTGGTTCACCCGAAAGACAAAACGCCAAAACACAAACTTAACAATGTGGTGTATGCTGTACAGTGCAGCGAGGAATGCTCAGACCTCTACATTGGAGAGACCAAACAGCCACTTCACAAGCGCATGGCACAACACAGAAGAGCCACCTCCACAGGACAAGACTCAGCAGTCCATCTGCATCTAAAGGACAAAGGTCACTCTTTTGAGGATGCCAATGTTCACATTTTGGACAGAGAGGACAGATGGTTTGAAAGAGGAGTGAAAGAAGCCATCTATTTCCACTGTGAGCGACCATCTTTGAACAGAGGCGGGGGTTTACGACACCAACTCTCTGCCATCTATAATCCAGTTTTGAGATCCCTTCCCAGACGCCTTAACGCCCACTCACATCCTGGGCCATCTGACCTCAGGAATTCGCATGATAAGGTGGGGCCAGGTTTCACAATGAACTCACCCGAAACCCTGGCTGATTGGGACCCACGCCCAGTTTCACACCTTGGCTCAGGCGATTAGAGGATCATCAGGGGGTCCTTTTGTCCCTCTGTGGGGGGTCACTCCCACTAGGTTTATATCTGGGACTCTCCACCATTTGACCTTAGAACTGAAGAAGCTTCTCGGATGAGAGGTGAAACGTCTTCAAGCAACTTAAAGAAGTCCAGACGCTTTTCTTTGCAAGCTCCTTTGACTTTAATGGGAGCAGGTCACAGTAAAAAGGGGGAGGGAACAACCACTTTTGCAAACATAACACAACATTTGGCAGGATAGAGGATGAGTTTGAGATAGAGAGAAAATTAATCCCACAATACTTTGTGTAATTTCAAAAAAGAAATTGTTGTTCTAGTTTTTGAATTGCATGCATTTGTTTGATATTTAGACTGTTTGTGATCATTCTCATGTGTCTGCAGAAACAAAAGTTTTTCACAAGGCCATCTCTTAAGATTTTTTATGTAATTTTTGTTTGTTTTGGTTTGGTTATTTTTACATCCCACTCTCCTTGTAGGGTGAACAAGGAGAAGTTGCTTACAGCAACATTGCTGTGTGTTTTAAACCAGAGGTGTGGACTCGAGTCACATGACTTGGACTCGAGTCAGACTCGAGTCATTAATTTTATGACTTTAGACTTGACTTGAAAAAATGTTCTAAGACTTGTGACTTGACTTGGACTTTTACACCAATGACTTGGGACTTGAATTGGACTTGAACCGGTTTACTTGAAAAGACTTGATATTTTACCCCAAATATAAAATTTAACATGCATATTATATAGAGATTGAAAATGTGAGGTCATTCACGGGTAGAACCGCAAAGGATTCTGGGAACTCGTGGCAAGCGGTACTAGCGCACGCAGGCTTTCAATTAAAATCAGTTACACAGCGATAAAAAGAAACACAAAAATGTCAAGAAGCTGTTGTATTATTAACTGCAATAGCCGGTCGCATGACAGCCACGGGAAGCCAACGGGTAAAGAGATCGGTTGTTATCGGATTACGTCGTTGAAGAGAAATTGTTCAAGCCATGTTTCCGAAGTAACAAAGAGGCGACGGATGGCCTGGATTGCAGCCATTCAAAGAGCAAATATAACGTCCCAGAACCCTCCAGCTCACAGGTTAGTCTGCTCCAAGCATTTACACGAAGGTCAGTGTTTTTTAGTAGTTAATGCATCATTTTCATAACATAATTAGTGATATAGGTTACAAGCAAGTCTGGCGCTGAACAGAAATTGTCACGCTATGCTCCTTTATTTATTGTGCATAAATAGTGAATTGTCCTGACACAATATTGCGTTTCGCTTCTGTTATTATGGTACATTGACAAAAACATATACTTTTATTCACAGGATAAAACAGGTTTTTTGTATCACTAATTGTCCAGTGCGATTACAGACTGCGGTAAAGTGAGCCGTCATTTGTGAGCCGCGGTCAAGCCAGCCGCCTCCTATCCGCGCGGTGATTACAGCATACAATATTGTTGTCACTGCTACATTTCTGTAACGCTACCAGAAATTATTTCCACTACTAATTAATTACCGTTGAGCTCAAAGGTCCTATTAATAAACGGTTAAGGAATGTGTATTTATGACGACAATTTGTGAGACTGGTAAACTTATGATACGTACGATGGTCTTTCGTTCTACACGGTGCATTTCAAGGTCCTGCACCCATCCGTCGGTAAACTGTACCTGGGCTTGTTGCAGTGACCTGAAGTTACTAAACTTCATGAGTGTGTGCACTCACTCCAAGAACCGTATGATTATAAATATGCATATAAATATGCTACAATGAGATAGCTGACTTCATCTAACTAGCAAATGTTGTCCAGGCTACGTTGGTGATACAGTTTTTTTTAATATGTATGATATTTTTGTCATGCGATTTTAAAGCCGGTCCTACAACCGCATCCAAGAATAACATGCAGCTTATCTCAGAACTGTCGGTGAAAATTATTCTTGGAGCTAGGTTTAATTGAGCTGCATTTTAAAGAGGTGCAATTTCACAATTTGTGTATATTTTCTAAGTTCACTATTGTGTCATGTGTTGAGAAAAACACAGATTTTAAAATTACATGGTCTAATATTTACATTTAGCATAACTGCAACATTATTTTTTCGTTTTTTTTTTTTAAAGACTCGAAAGGACTTGAAATTCAAAGTTTCAGACTTGTGACTTGACTCGGACTTTTACACCAGTGACTTGAGACTCGACTCTGACTTGCCTGACATTACTTGAGACTTGACTTGAGACTTGAGGATAAAGACTTGAGACTTACTTGAGACTTGCAAAACAATGACTTGGTCCCACCTCTGTTTTAAACTATAAATTAAATATTGCATTTTGATACAAAACAGAGAGTGTTGGCTTAAAGTGGTTTACATCTCTGGGCCTAACTGATTCATCAAAGTTTGCAGCTAAAATATTTCATAGTACAGAATTTTCTTTTCTAGTTTTTTCTTCTTCTTTTTTTAATCTGATGCATGAAAGCCATGTTGTGTTTCTTTTTTCTTTTCTTTGTGTATATGGTGAGGTGGGGGGGATCACAGCTCAAGCAAGCAGAGCAGCATGCCTTATTTGAGTTTATATTTTACAAATTGACAAATATACAAATGGTAAATGAATACCTGACTACATCTTTCTTTGGTCATCAGTTTCAAAGTTGGAATCCTGATACTTCTCAGTGGGAAAATATCTGAAAAGAACTGACTGTCAGTCAATGTAGGTAAGTAACTGAATGAAGATTTGGAAAAAAGGCAGAAGAAGAAAAAATGCATGAAGAAAAGAAAAGTGAGGTGCAAGTGGAGATGAAGACGGGAAAAGACTGGAGTCAAAGACTAAGACGGGAGAGATGGCGATCAAGGCGAAAGAAAGCAAGACTCTGCTCCGACTGTCCTGGGTCACATGTTTTTATATTAATGGTTGAGGTCTTGTGTCAGGTCAGGGAGAGCTAATCTTAACTCTCTTGCTGGAGGGCACCTTCAACCCATGGGGCATCTGGGTATCTCGTCAACCCAACAGTGAACCACCGGGCTCTTCTCTTAGCATGCAAATGAGACAAGAACAAATGTCCCATCACTTCTGGGGCTCCATGTCCCAAAGTGCTTAACACTCTTCCTGTCAACCCCCCACACCCCACCCCACTCCAGCTGCTTCAAAAAGCCCCTCCTGCACATCCTTCACTCTTTTTTTCTCCTCCCTCTGATGTTCTTTAAATGAGCTTCCCAACTCCACTTCTTTCTCACAATTCAATTTTACAAGGCCATTATCCTGGGTGTAATGTGGAGGTTAAATATATCGGGGCAGACATTATGTGAAAATAATTAGTGCTAATGAATAATGCACTCATTCAGCTGATGAAGGATGGTTGTCAGGGTAATGGAGTACAAGGGAGGGGCCCCTCTGACAAATGAAATTAAAATATTTAAACACTGTTTTACGATATTATCAGGCCCTCACACTCTTTCCCTGTTATGCACTCGCTATATGGAGCAGGCAAGCCTCCATGTGACATGATAGTTGTGCCATTACTCACGCACAACATCTGTCTCACCAGAGGCCCTGATACAAGGCCCATGCTTTTGCAGTACCTCACACCACAGCTCATCATCCCTGCCCTGATAATCACGCTGATGGCTTTAGAGATGGCGCTCTTATTGACAGTCGATGTCACCCTGCCAGATTATATTTTCTTCACTTTATTTATTGCCACTGCACTCATTCTGCCTCTTAGGATCTCATTCTGCGCCCATCATGTGACAATGAAGGATGTAGGTTTTAAATTGCCTGGTTTACAGCGCTCTCCCAGTCAATTGGCCTGTTCCAATCAATAATGGTAGACTAAGCACTCCGTGACAGATAAATGGTAAAGCATCAACACAACCTTATTAGACATAATGGGTAGATGAAAATATAGGAAAGTGCCTTTGACAGAGGACAGAAAGTGCATGAACTAATAATATATATTGCTTATTTCTTCATGCACCAAACTCTGCTTGATGAACCTTCAAACACCTATTTCCACCTACACCTACTTGAACTTCAGCCATTCTAGCATTTTGGTTTACTCTGGTTTCAACATAAAGTCTTTAAGATTGTGGTCAGTAATCCAATATATCAGAGTCGTCAAAGGCTGACAGAAAGTGGTGTATGTTTAAATAAGACTCCAGCCTATCCCCATTGTTTTGATTTAACCATGCTCCTGTGTAGTGATGAACACATTCCCCTTAAACACAAAAGATCCCTGGTTCAAGACCAGGACAAGACGCAAACCCAATAGTATACTCCCATTGCTGGTCCCAAGACCAGAAAAATTGGAGCATTGCATCAGGAAGGGAATTTGGTATAGATCAAACTTGCAGATCCACCACTGTGGCGATTCCCTCCAGAACTATGCAACATCTGTTGTACAGTAGGTGAAAACAACAGTGGTTGCTGGTGCAACTAATGTCAGTTAGTTGTAATGGAAATGTGAATAGGCTCAGGCTGTACTTGCTGACAATGACAACACTATCATGCTGATGTGATGTGATCCCTCTTAATTTATTTTCTTTGTAAGTATGCTAAACATGTAAACATTACACAATGTAAACATCATGTCACAGAGTAACAAATTACAGATTCAAATTTGGACCTGGAGATGTTATGAGGATTTGTTTTGTTTTTTTTCTTTTTTTCTTTTTTTCTTTTGGAAGTGACATCAGAAACAGCAGCATGTGACATCACGTGATGGCGGAGCTTCAGTTCATCCTTTGTCATCCTTGTTTTTTTTTTTTTTTTTTTTTTAATAGGACAGGGGGAAAGAATGAAAAAAAGAGGGGGAGAGGAAGAAAGAAAACCAAAGGGGAGAAGAGACGGTGAGAAGGGGGGGAAGAAAGAAAAAACAAAACAAAACAAAACAAAAAAAAACTCCTGGGTCACCTGTATGGAGAGAAAGAAAAACAAAAAAAACAGGGGAGAAAGCAAACAACAAAGAGCAACATAATAATAAAAAAAAAAAGCACCATCACAATAAACTAGCTAGTCATAGATATCAATAGTTACTAAATAATAAACGATATTGTGCAGCACGCAAGATAGACAGCGCACAGTGTGCTTTGAGGCAGCAGCCAAGAAAGCTGTAGTCCGCATCTGTGAATACCCATGTGTACACCTGTGTGCATACCTGTGTGGATCAGCATGCTTGCATTCCAAAGGTTTCTCCATGTAATGATCTGCTAGAGAGTGTGGGGAGCCACAGCCCTGTCCTCTATGGTATCAAGCAGGTATGGAGGAGATCAAAACTCCAGACATCCAGAGGCCCCCAGAACACAAGAGACCAAGGAAGACCCACAGAGGGGCAGCGGCGCCACTGTCCCAGTAAGAGCTGAGGAGAGTCCCAGATGAGAGCTCATTCAGCAGCCGCGGAGCAGAAGCCAGGGGGAGTTGCAGTGACGCGCCCGTGAGCTCCGCCGGCAGCCAGCTGTGCCTGAGTGACCGAGCCCCAGGCCGAGAGGCCGGGGGCACCCCACCTCCATGAGGATTCGTTCTAAAGAAAGCAGATATATTTACTGCAAAACTTTAAACCTGTGGGTGCTAAAAGTTGTTATTAAGTTCAACAGTCGAAGTGAATGGGCTTATCTGCATTCTTTCCTGTGGTCACACGTTCTTGGTGTCAACTGAAAAAAAAGATCAAGGATGTAAAAACTCACAGGTTTTCCAAACTATCAGAACATTGGAGATGTCATCAGATCATCCAGAGACAGATAGATGCCCTGGTCATGCCACACATGACAAGAAGAGCTGCTGCTGCTACATTGCAAGCCCCAATCTGAGCAGCAATGACCCTCCTGGGAGTGATGGAAAACTCACCTGCTGATGTGACGGTCCAGCTGGAACATCCACTCGACAAAGGTGTTACTTTCCTGTTGAAACACAGACAGGGAGGAAGCAACTGTTTGCTCCTCCTGTCGTACGCCAGCATGCCCTGAGCATAGCATGAGGCAAACTGTGTGTTATAACTGCATGTATGGTGTGTTTACCTTTAGCTGTGTTTAGTTTTTTCCATTCCCTGTACAACCATGGTTGGTGATCTCTGCCAGGGCTGCCATTTGTCTCTGATTCTTTTTATAACTTTTAGGACAATAATTTCTAGGTGTAGCCAAAGGGTGGAGGCTGGTTTAAGGATATGATCTCTGTTTTTCTCAGATGATGTGGTTTTGTTGGTTTTACACTGGGGCATTTTCCAGCCAAATGTGAAGTATATGGGATGAGAATTAGCATCTCCAAGTCTGAAGCTATGGTTCTCTGTTGGCAACGAGTGGAGCACTGATTCAGGGTTTGAACTGCTGCCCCAAATGGAGTAGTTTAAGTAAGAGTAGTTTAAATAAGTATTACTGATGATGACACTGCGCTGGTTGGTTGTGGTGAAGAGAGAGCTGAGCACGAATGTGAATCTGGTGATTTAACAGTTGATCTGTGTTCTTGCCCGCCCCTGTGGTCACAGGTTCTGGGTATCAACTGAAAAGAAAGATCAAGGATGCAAGCAGCAGAAATGATTTTTCTCTCAAGGGTGTTGGAAATAGAGGCATTTGGCCATTTAGGAGTCACTCAGAGTAGAGCCACTACTTCTCCTCATCGAAAGGTGTTTTGGGTATGCAATGGAGGTCCCAAGTACACGCTGGAGAGATTATATGCCCAAGCTGGCCAGTTGCATATTTATTTCAGTTATTGTATATTTGACTGATATAATCCACGAATCCAAGACAAATAGTGTTTAATTGAAATTATTTTTAAAAATTGTGATACTTCAATAGACAAAAGCTAAATAAGCTGATAAATAACAATGTAGTTTGTATTTGTAAATCTGAAAGTAATATTACATAAACTGTGCAAAAATACTGGCAGATAATAAAAAAGCTACTCTTTTTTCTTCTTTAGATTACATTAATTACATAATTAATAAGACTTTAAGAAGAAATAAGGTTTGCTATTATTATTTTGGTGTTATATTTAATTTCATACAGTAAATTGTTCTTGGATACCTCCATCGGTCGTCCACGTATGTTAACTATGTCAGTAGGATGAGTGTTAACAAATTAAAGGTGGGTCTGTGGCTGAGTAGGAACAACCCACACACACCATACCCTGCTACATCTTGCAACTTTCTTTTCTTAACTCTTATTTTGCATTTTGGCAGCATATACATTTGACTTGCAAAACAGACCTAATTACAGGGCCTGCAGTATGCAAGCCACACATCAAACATTAAGTTACAGTAGAAGCCTGTGATCCCAGTCACATACTCTCTCCCTCTTTTTTTCTTCTGCCCTCCCTTGCCTCTGCACACCAGAAACACTGATTGTAACAGGGACATTAAAGGGGAATTACAGCGAAACAATTTACACTTAATGTAGCAGTCGTATGAACGGGGAAGAAAGATGGACAAAGATATAGCCGTATTAATAATACATGTTTTAATTAAGCAGCTGGGAATGCAAGGAGCAGGATCAAGGGAACAGACAGACAATGAAAGAAGAACTCGAAAGGAGGGAAGCGGTGAGAGAAAGACGGACGAAGAAAAAGAACTGAAAATGAGAGAGCGAATGACAGAGAAAGAGTAAAACAAAGCGGAGCATAAAAAGTAGAGGAGGGAGGAGGATTGGAATATGGTGCTGCGCGTTTCCTGCAAACCGTGATTCATGGGCAGTAAATATGCAAAGCCTGATGGCCATAAGGCAATCAGAGGAGCGCCACTCATCTACATGTTGCACAGTGGGCTATAATCCATCTGAGGGGCAAGGAATAATGATACCAGGAAGCAGGAATAAGAGCAGGGTCTGTTTATTACCTCAGACAGATCCAT